GTGTCCGTCCATCATCCATCCATCTGTCTGTCCATCCATCTGTCTGTCCGTCCATCTGTCCATCCATCCATCTGTCTGTCCATCCGTCCGTCTGTCCATCTGTCTGTCTGTCCATCCGTCCGTCTGTCCATCTGTCTGTCTGTCCATCCGTCCGTCTGTCCATCTGTCTGTCTGTCCATCCATCTGTCTGTCCATCCATCTGTCTGTCCGTCCATCCATCCATCTGTCTGTCCATCCATCTGTCTGTCCATCCATCCATCCGTCTGTCCATCCATCCGTCTGTCCGTCCATCCATCCATCCATCTGTCCATCCATCCATCCGTCTGTCCATCCATCCGTCTGTCCGTCCATCCATCCATCCATCTGTCCGTCCATCCATCCATCTGTCCGTCCATCCGTCCATCCATCCATCTGTCTGTCCATCCATCTGTCTGTCCGTCCATCCATCCATCTGTCTGTCCATCCATCCGTCTGTCCGTCCGTTCATCCATCTGTCTGTCCGTCCATCCATCCGTCTGTCCGTCCGTTCATCCATCTGTCTGTCCGTCCATCCATCCATCTGTCTGTCCGTCCATCCATCCATCTGTCTGTCCATCCATCCGTCTGTCCGTCCGTCCATCCATCCATCTGTCCATCCATCCATCCGTCTTTCCGTCCATCCGTCCGTCCGTAGGTCTGCTACCACCAGGCCTTGCCTGCGTCTTCCCGCTTCTTCCCCTACCTAGCCTTGCTTCAGTCCCTCGTCCTTCTTGCCGTGGGCTCCTTCTGGCTCCACCTCCCCCACACCTCTGCCCGCGTCGAACACTTCCTGACCATCTTGGCCAAGTGCTGCGAGTCTCCCTGGACGTCCCAGGTCCTGTGCCACGCTGCCCAGCAGGAGAACATCCCAGATGAGAAGGTGTCTCCTTCCTATTTGTCTTCACCTCCAGGAGAGTCCACGCGGTGTCTGAGCACAGCCTCAGTGAGGGACACAGGAAGTCCACTTCTGAAAAGGTCCAACAGTTTGACCTCCAGCAGTCCTCCACGCCCTTCTTCACGCTCCTCTACCTCCACAGTTTGGTCCACATCACTCCACCCCAGGGCGTGGCCTCCTGGGTCCAGGAAAATGATCAGTCTGGAGAAAAGTGACGGGGAGGAGACCAGGGCGCTGCTGGAGAGGGTCAGGAAGTTTAGGGCCCACTGTGAGGGGTCATCTGTCATCCATCAGGTAGGTCCTCCTCCAGTCTGGAGACCAGTACAGGTGTATGTGGGTGATGGTTCTCCACACTCGTACAGGTGTATGTGTGTGATGATTCTCCACACTCGTACAGGTGTATGTGTGTGATGATTCTCCACACTCGTACAGGTGTATGTGTGTGATGATTCTCCACACTCGTACAGGTGTATGTGTGTGATGATTCTCCACACTCGTACAGGTGTATGTGTGTGATGATTCTCCACACTCGTACAGGTGTATGTGTGTGATGATTCTCCACACTCGTACAGGTGTATGTGTGTGATGATTCTCCACACTCGTACAGGTGTATGTGTGTGATGATTCTCCACACTCGTACAGGTGTATGTGTCTCAGACCGTTCTCAAACTGCTGCTGGTGACGGTGATCCTGGGCTACACCGCTCCTCTGGTCAACCAGCTGACCTTCACCCACACCTGTCGCCCTGAGGAGCAGGCTCTGGTGGCCTACGGCAGCTTTGAGTGTGTGCACGTCTTCTCCTCGCTTCTACACAAGCTGCTGGCGACCTACGTGACCCTGCTGGGGTTCTACGGCCTCTTCAACGTCTACGCTCTGGGCTGGATCTCTCACAGGTTCTGAAACTTCAGAAACGTTTTGGTTTTCTTAAATGGAGCCATGTTTGACCATGTGGTCGGTGTTTTTGTGCAGCTCTTTGCAGCAGTACTCCCTCCGCTCACTCAGAGATGTTCCAGACCTGAGGAACGACCTGGCCTTCCTCTGCCACATGTTGGACCACTACAGCCCTCTGCTTCTTCAGCGTCTCTCGGTGTTTTTGTCACCGCTCAGCGAGAGCGGGCTGCCGGAGGAAACGTTTGAGCAGCGTTGGAGCCAAGAAAGGCTGCGGGCCATGAGCAGAGTGGATGCGGGGGGGTGCTCCAGACTGCAGCTGGTGGGACTGCCTCACCTTCCTCCCGCTCTCTTCACCCTGAACCAGCTTCAGGTCCTTGAACTGGAGCTCATGAAACAGGCCAGGTTCACGGCACGGGCGGCCGACATGAGCTCCCTGAGGTGAGGCTTCTGACCTTCAGGTTCTGCTTCTGACCAAACTGTCGATTCGTGTGACTGACCTGTGGTTTCTACACCAGAGAACTCCACCTCGTCCACTGCACAGCCGCTGCGGATCCCAGTGTTCTGGGAGTTCTCCGGGAACGTCTGGAAGTCCTTCACCTCACGTTCGCTCGGCCGTCACAGATCCCCAGCTGGGTCCTGTCCCTTCACAGCCTGCACCAGCTCCACCTCACCGGTCGCCTCGGCGGTGAGGGTGGCGTCGGGCGCAGCTGGGCGGTCGGCAGCCTCCGCCAACTGCATCACCTGCGTGTATTGGTCGTCCGAGGAATGCTGCCGCGGATCCCCGGAGAGCTGTGCCATGTGGCCGGCAGCTTGGTCAGGCTGGAGATCCACAACGAAGGTGTCCGACTGCTGGTGCTGACAGCACTGAAGCGAATGGTGGGACTGACGGAGCTGCTGCTGCAGGACTGCCGGCTGGAGCGTCTGCCCTCTGCACTCCTGTCACTGACCAGGCTGCAGACACTCGACCTGCAACATAACAGTTTAACAACTCTGGAGGAGCTGCTCAGTCTGGCTCACCTGCAGCATCTGTCCTGTCTCAGACTTGCCTATAATCACGTTCGAGTGCTGCCACCTACTGTTGGGGTTCTTCGTGGTCTAGAAATCCTAGACCTGTCAAACAACCAGATCCACAGCCTTCCTCCAGCGCTCTTCACTCTTCGCCACCTTCGACGACTTCTGCTCGCTGGCAACCTGGTGGAGGAGCTGCCGCCACAAATAAAGGCGCTGCGCCTGCTCTCAGAGCTGGACCTGAGTGGAAACAGGCTGGAGAAGTTACCCTCAGAGCTGTTCAGCTGCCTGGGGCTGCGAACCCTTAATGTGGCGCACAACTCTCTGAGGTCATTACCGGGGGCCATTTCAGCGTTAGGTCAGCTGTGCAGGTTGGACCTGCGCACAAATAGTCTGGAAGGACTGC